ATCAGACTACACCTTCTCACTACAGATAGTTAGTATATTATGTGTATGTTACTTTAATTTTTTTATTTCCAATCTCACCAAAATCATTTGATCGGCACGAAGTTTTGCACTGCGAAAACAGTTCCTTCAGTCTGGGAGTCTGTTGAATTCGATCACTTGTACCTTAAAGATCCGAGTATAGAATAAACGCGTATGACACAAAACAAGGCGACATTCATAACCCAGTTTCGTTCCCCTATTTTTGCTCCGCGCGCCTTTATCAACTGATGTTTCCGTCCTCTTGCTAAATCACCCTAATATTCTCCAGTACAACCCTTGCACTTGGTTAGTAACAAGTTACTATTGCCAATTCATTAACGGGTATAAATTAACAAGACAATCCGGCAAAGCGTTGCTGTTTCCAACGAGAAGAAATAGGTAAGCTGAATCTATGAAGGTAGATCCTGGACAAAATGTTCGATACGTCGTTTTGTTATGGCGTTTCGTCGTTTCGTGTGCAGACATAGAGATGAACACAAGCGCAGCACTCCTGACATCTCAACCCACAATTTGTTTCCTCACAAGCGCTTGCTATTCGGCAGACTTAATATGAACTTCTACCGTCCTCTACAAAAACCGTCCATGTATCGTCTTCCTCGCAATTAACAGACTCAACAGGTAAGGACAGGCTCCGTAAGTGACGATCGTTTATCGTATTAACTCGATTTGTAGATTTCCCCTTGGTTACCTTGATTAGTCGATCGAAGGTCTTGTCACGAACAAATTTTAATAAACGAAGTATGCAGTTATCTAAGCGTTTTTTTACTTTCCCTTTTAGGTATCCGCATTTAAAAACTCTGTGGAAGGCTTCCAAAAACATGTTTTAGTTGATTCTGAGACCAGTTCTAAAACAATATGCCCACTGCTGCTTCCGATGGACCCAGTCATGCACAAAGTAATTATGGAATGCGGTGGTCTTTGAGGAGAGACTGGACCGGTGGAGAAGGGCTCGTAGACAGTCATCGAATAATGATTCGTTCGTCTGCTGTAGGACCTTACGGAACATTTTGTAGATCTCTGCTTCGGTAGGTAAAATCGCCAGTCTTCTTTCTGAGTTCCGTGCACAACAGCTTCTGGGGCCGTGGGACAGCATTCATAATTCCCACCCACGCGTTGTAGTATTGAGGGCCGATGTCACTCATACACCATGTGCTCGTGCCGTCTTGGACATCGTGGAGAGAAGGCTGCGCCTTTATTACGTGTCTGCGGTATTCCCTATTGCACGTGACTGAGCTTTGAGGAGAAAGACAACGGTAAACCTTCAGTCGTTCGCCCGACTTATAAATGGCGTTACCCGAGAAACAGATCTACCAGACAGTTACGAGGAAGAGGAGAACATAAATGGAAATGATCGGAGCGAAAAATCGCACGGGAAACATTTTGACAGTGTAATTGGATCACGGAATTCCTCGTTTTCTGATGAAGATGGTAATACAGCAGACGAGAAAGGGATGCCACGGGAAGAAAATTTCTCACGAGATGTTTTTCTACAAGATGAAGAAAATCCACCCCCTTGTTTTGTATGATGGCCAAACGAAAGGACGAATGTAAGGTTTTACTAATTAGATTTTATCCCTACAACGATTTAACATTGTATAGTACACTAAATTAACTTAACTTTAGGTGTGATAATTTATTAATTAGTTGAAGAAACTTCGAGCAATGAATGCTAAATGTGGTGTCTACCATAGGATGATCGTTTAGGGATCTTGTTATTTTTGGTGTTTTATTTGACTCATAAAGTCTTGCCTGAAAATGCACAAATTGTCGTCTTCTGATTTTTAACTATCTTATTCTCTAATAATTTGGATATATCAACAAAGTTGAAATGGTAAATTGGCCACCGTAACGATTACAAAAGCTGACGTTTCGAGCGTTAGGCCTTGGTCGG